TATATGTGCTGTTATAGACTTTGTAGCTTTCATAAGATTCTTAGAGGAGTACATGTTCCCCCGCCAATTTTAAAAAAAGACACTAGAGACTTCCTTCTAAGCCTCTGTCAAGCCATCAGGCACTTCTATGGTTCTTTGAGCTGTTATCTATCCATTTTTTACATCAGAATGGGCATCCTGTCTTATTTCTTCCTTGCTGAGTCTAATAGGCACTTAGCTTGTATTTATTGATTTGAAGTGAATGAACCTAAGTTAACATTTTCCCACTGTGTCTACAAAACACTTAAATCAGGAACTTGATCAGATGCTTTGTGAAATCACACATTGTGTTTTCTCCTGACTTATCTATCTGTGTTAGTTGGTCACAAATTAATGAAGCTCATTTTGTATGACTTGGTTGAGGGAAAACCTGTACTGTTGTCCAATAATATTTTGCTCCTTAATTATGGTCATACATACCATTTGTTTAATAATCTCTTCCAGAATGCTGTTTGTTGTGCACAGACCCTCATTTTGCAAAGGAGTATATATGCTCTCTACATCTGCAATACCACCACCATTTTTCACTTTATAGCCGTTCTATATTCTGCCTTTTTTAAGAATCTTGGAAGATAATTTTTTGAGATCTATAGTCTACAATTAGTTCAGAAAATCTTCTTGAATTCTTGGAATTCAGTTTTTCCTTAATTATAGTAGTTCTGTCCTCCTCTCTCCCTGATGGCAAAGACAGAAGCAAACTAGAATAGAGCTGCTCTGTTTTTTTCTGTCTTCTGCCTAATCAATGATGATTATCATTTCTGAAGTCTCCAGTAGCATCAGTAAACTCATACCTAGAGCTCTGCCATCTTTGTCATTTTGGACAAGCCTTATCTCATTCCAATTTTATGACTTTTCATATTCCTCTTAAAGTTTCATGTGACTTCCATTTGTCATAGGTCATATATGTTTGTCTTTTGTTAAAGCTATTTGCAAAAATATGTGGAGAAACATAGCAAACATGTTATCCATGTTATATTTAATATATATGCTCTTTGTACGTGATTCTCTTCATCATCAAGATGACCTGTTTTCATACTATCAAATTGGGCATTTTGAGATCCTGCTGTCCTTCATAAGCCCTTTTGTCATTTTCAGTTTCTGGCCACTTGATCTTGTTTCTCTTTTCTCTATACTTTTGTAATCTGGAGACAGACTTCTTTAAAGACCAGAATATATTTCTATGTATGTCCATGGTTCACTTCCTGGTCTACTAGAAATTCCAATTTAAAATTGCCATTTTCTCAAGATTTTCATTATTTCTACTTTATCAAGCAGTTTATCCTTATTGGTTAGGAGTCCAGAATCATGGTATCTGTCACATTCATTCTGAAAGCTAGAACTTGTCAACAGTCAATTCAGAACTCATCAGCAGAGCAGGAAGAACAGAAGATATTTGAATGATTTGCATATCTCATGATGTCACTCTCTTAGTTTTGAGCCAGTTTTGCCATTTCTTTTAAAAGCATATCATCTAAATCTTTGGTTGGGTGAACAGTCCAACCAAATGGCCATCAATGGGATGTTCTTTTTCCATTTATACTCACTTTAAGCATTCTTTACCCTATCCCTAAGTCTGTGACTTCCCAGAAATGTGTATGTTAAATTTTCTTGACAGAGCACATTTTTCATCAGCTTTGTTTCACTGGACATTATAGACTGTCTGCTGGTATGAGATTCAATTCACACCAGGTTTCAGTAATGGTTTTGCAATGCTATTTACCACTGTTTTTAAGTGGTGATGAGGAGAATAGCATATAAAGAAATGAGTATAATTAGCATAACATGGATAGCTATGTGTTTTGCAAATTCACTGATAGCAACTCATCTTTTCAGTCTGTGTATTTCTGTATAGACATCTAAGATCAAAGGTGTTTATTCTTTCATGCTATTTTCTCAGGGTTTTTTTGTATTGGTCATATCATGACTTAGCATGAAGCTTAAGAAGACAGTCACCTATTTGGTTCTTTTGAATTCCTCCCCCGCTTTGGATTTTTGAGAATGATATCCTTCATGTTGACCTCTTTTCTCCACATTCCTTTTCCTGGTACTCATTCCCTCAGTTAAACTTGCATTAAGAGCAGCTCCACATCTAACTTGCAACATTTTCTGTCATTGCTCAACAGTTTTTTTGCTATTTTGAAGTTGCTTAGTATTTCTCATGATTCTAGACTTTATTGCTTGTTGTTGTCTGCTCTTTTATTTCTTGGCAAAAGAAAAATGTTCCTCTAAACTTTTGTAAAATAAAATGACTCAGGAAAAAAATCTGGATGTGAGTTTTCCCCTTCCTCCCCACAAAACCCTCACTCTGTACCACATACTGAGTTCTGCAGGTGTGCAGCCTTTTTCACTAACAGCCTTTAGTGTCGGACCCACTTTTGTGGCTGTAACAGATTGAGGTTGTCACTAAAATAAAATAAAAAATAAGAATGTTATTGCCTCTCAGCTCCTCTGTTTTCTTACCTGCACTATAAATAATGTTGGACAAGTAAATATAAAAACATTGTCACTAAAGGATGAATACTTATCTTTCTCTGAGCTTTAAAACAAAAACTTTTCAGAATTATGAAGTAGGGAGGGTGCAAGGAAAACAGTGTTCAAATCAATAATGACTAGCGTTTCCTAGCTTCTCTTTTCCTGCTAATGACTGAAGGCAAGGACTAATTAGAGAAGCCTCAAGGGTCTGGATTTCTACTTGTACCAGATGGTGCTGAGTGAGAACTATTCACAGTGCCAGAGAGAATTCTGGGTTGTTCTTAGCTACCTTTCTTCCATCTTGATTGTGTCTGAGGACACTTATATCTGCCTATTTTTACTTAGTCCTTTGTTCACTTTCTTCGTTATAATTTCAGGAGGTGCATTCTGCTATCTTTAGTGAGAGCTTTTGCAATCTTTTATTTTGCTTTTCCCTGACAAGCTCATTTCATTCATCATTTTTAGATTTCCTTTGACTCCTATATTTTCACCTGATCTCACTAGACTTTTCAGTCATTCTTTCATGACTGTTCTTTCAATGAGTATATTGATTCATCATGTGGATACCTCATAGTTATTTTACCATTTCCTACTGTTGACCATTTCAGTTGTCTACAACTCATTATCATGAATGCAGTAGTCAGTATTTTCATGAACAAAACGTCTTCAGGATATCCTCAGGAAAATGTGTTAATATATAAACACATTTTTGAAGTCAGGATCTTCTTTGGAGGCTGAAATCAAGAAGATGTACAATGTGAATGACTCCTAACTGTTGTTGAAAATTTCAGCCCATTACAGAGATATTTGAACAACAGGGCTTAGCTTCTGTGCACTTCCAACCTCCATCTCCTCTTTAATTGGCCTCCACTCTGGATACAGAACACTGGGGAAGAAAGGTTTGAAGGGGAAGACATGGAGTGCAGGACAAGGAGTCCCTTTGTCTCCCCCTACCTTGTTCCCAGATACATCTGTAACTCAACTTGAATGTCCATGTGCTTACTGACTCTTTCTTGGTGTAATTGTCTGGTTTTTGTACATATCCTTTTGCTTATCAAGGAAGATAGTTTTTACCCAGTATATCCTGGTTTTTAAAAATTATTTGGAGTATTGCACAGTAATTAAAGTGTCTCCTGTAATTGCTGGTATTCCTCCGTTGTGGGATAAAACTTAGTGAGGGCATACCATAAGTAGAATAGCATAAAGAAGGCAAATAATGGCTTAGTTAATATTTTAGAAGTTCATTTATGCAAGTTATTTACTTTGGGTATTGTATTAGCGAGAATGATGTCATTATAACAAAATGAGGTAATTAACTTACAAGGAAAATGTCACCCTGACTTACTCTTACAGGTTTCCATTCATGACCAAGCAGACCCATTGCTTATAGGCCCTTGTGGGAATGAATGTTGGTGATGATAGTGGTCAGTGTGTGATGGCACAAGCTGCTTATGTCATTCATGGCAGAAAGCATTAAAGAGAGGTGAAGGGGTTGGTGTACCACAGTACTCCTCACCCTTACCCTAATGATCCAGGGATTCCCATGGGTGCCATTCAAAGGTTCCACTATGTCATATAGTGCCATCCCAGGACCAAGCCTTTAACACATGGGGCTTTAGGGGACATTGAAGATCCAAACTATAGTAGTTATAGTATCTGTCATCAGAAAGGTAATTATTTGACCACAACCATGTTGAAATTAGTTTTTCTTGATCCTTGTCATGTTGGGTATTGCTTTTATAGGGATGAGAAAAGTTTCTTTTTTATAAATTCTAAAATAGCAGACTAAAGTAGGAGAATTTCATATTGCTATAAAATGTCCTGTGAATGACTCTAATTCTAATTAAATTGACTATTTATAGTTATTAGTTAATATTTCCTTCTTGAAATTTCCACATTAAGTTAATTATGTATCTTTAAGAAAAATTATTTTTGCCATTACAGTTTTATCATGATCTTAGGAAGCTAACAACAGGAATAATTAAAAACTGTTACAAATAGCATTTGTATCTATATTTAAAAAGCTCTTCAATTGACCAAGCAGATGTTGTTACAGATTTTTGTCTTTGATATGATAAATTTTCCATTAATTTTGAAAATCTGTATTAAGGAATGTGCTTTCAAGTTTTGCATATTTGAGCTGCAATTTGTGAGAGTTCAAGCAGCTGTACTGACAACCATTTGATAAATTTGTAATTGAAGCTCTTTTAGGAAAAGACTAAGTTGTGGAGCTTTGTGTTCTGTACTTTATGTTCAGACATATGCATTTGAATTTCTTCTGTGGGTCCGAAATTGTAACATACATTACACACATGTACACACATATACATACATAAATACATATACTTATTATCTCATGTATATATTTATATTGCCCATCCAGTCTAAATTGAAAGTAAAGACACATATACTTCACTTTTTAAAGAAAATTTAAGAATGTCCATTTTAAGCTTTCACTATCTAACTTAAATATTTTTCCCTTTGTCTAGGTTGAAGAAATTGTGGATATTGGATCATTTGCTGCTGAAGATATACATATTCCTAAAATTTATGTGCATCGCCTTATAAAAGGAGAAAATTATGAAAAGAGAATTGAAGTAATTTTACTTAGATTCTTTTGTCAGTATTTATGGGTCTGATTACTGGAGGGATGTGTCGCAAAGGCCACTCCAAGTGATAGGAGATTGGAACCAAGCAACAGATTTTGCTTTGCATCTTAGTTGGACTTCTCATGTGTTCATTTTGAGGGAACATGATTTTCTGCAATACTGTCCAGTCTGGCAGTACCTTGTTTTCACAAGGTACATATGATCATGTCCTGTGTTTCTTTAGGCTGTGTCTGCCAGGCTTCTGTTTGCTGACTGTCCTAGCGAGAAGAGAAGGTCTTTGGTGACTTTGCCCCTGCTGGAGTCTTACTGCTTAATTGCTTCAAAGTATCCAGAGTATCTGGATTCAAGTATTCAAAGTTTCTAGCTATCTTGAAATTGCTTTGTACTTTCATGTAATGCAGAAAGACTATCATTTTTAATTAGCTTTGAGCTCTGGACAGCTGGTAGCCATGAAATTGTGCAAGGATTGAGTACCAGGAGCATTGGAAATATTTCAAGACCAGTCAGAACATAAGGAATGGCCAGCTGGGCCCGAGTTGATGTCAAGATTCAAGACATACAGTAGAGGATATTAGGGAATCAGAGATACCCACTACCCTGTGGACATCAAACAGAAAGACATTCTGGAACCCAAAACTGTTGTCAGGGGCCTTGGGAGAAAAGATGGGAAACTGGCAAAGAGAAACTAGAGTCTGTGTCAAGGAGATTTAGTAATGGAAATTGTTTTCTGACTGGTTTCTGGATATTTCTGTGATTTCCGTGATGCACAGGTAGCAAAACCTGTCTAGACTCTGCAGGTGGTAATAGGCATTTGGCAGCAGTAACACCTGGCAAACACATTCTGACAGCCCCAGAAAACAGATTTCCAACAGTTATTTCGTTTTCTTTGTTCTGGCTCAGTCTCTGAACACCTGAGGAGAATTCAGTTATAGGAGTCTTATGAGTAACAGTAGTAGTAGTGATTATGAGACTAACAGGAGATTATTTGCTTCAAAGAGACAGAGCAGGTGCATCTTCCTCTCATAACAAAACTGACCTCCTTTATTTACCTTGTGAAGAAGTATTTCAGTCATCAGATATCACCCATCTTATTCTTTTTTAAACTCTTTGTTATATTGCAGGTAGTCTCCTAGTGGTAATGAGGGTTTTTTTTCCTCCCCAGGAAATTTTTATATTGAAGCTGATAAAATGCAAAGCATACCATCAACCATGAATCTTTTTTGTGTGTGTTTATTTTTAAAGCGCTTATCAGTCCGAAAAGAGGAAGATGGAGAAGCCAAATCTGGTAAACGTGGAGATGATGTGAGGGAACGTATCATCAAACGGGCAGCTCTGGAATTCGAGGATGGCATGTATGGTATCCTTTGTGATTGTGAGACTAAAGACATAGCCCTTGCTTTTCCTGTATTGATCAGGCAGCAGGGACTCCTGAATAGTGATCTGTGTTAGTCTACAGTAAGTTTTTAAAAAATTGGTCTGTTTTTACCAAATATGGCATATAACTCCAAGATATCAAAATATATGAGACTGGCATTATAATGTTCACTTTCTTGAACTAAAATGGCAATCAAAAATTACTTAGTCATTTTCTAGTATATAGTGGATTTCTATACAGTTTGGTATTTGAATTGAGTTTACTGGAAAAAGAGGTTATCTACAATAAGGGCTTCAAATCTCAGAATTACTAGGGTAACTAGTGCTGTTTATTTTTTTGATATTCTGACATATGCATATTCATTGAAATGTAAGATTCAACTTCTTAAAAAAACCCTACTTCCTTGATAAAGATCCTATAAATGTCTTATGTTTTGTTAGGATATTCAATGAATGATTCAAATTCTGCTTTATACACTTTGCAAAAAAGAGCTAGAGTAGACTTAGTACAATTAGTATTTGGAATTTTGAATGCATTTAAATAGAAGTGAGACTGTTTCTTGTTTTGTTAATTTTCAATACAAATAGTGTGTGATAAAGTAAATATTTGTTGAACTGTAGGTACAGTGAAGCCATTCTTAAAGACCTATGGCAGAAAGAACTAGAAACATGACAAGTGTACCCATTCTGTAAGCATCCCACAGTCATTCACCCTATGATCTTGACTGAGCCAGGCCTATTTATTTCTCTCTTCTTTACTTCTACTTCCCTGCTTTTTCTTTATTTTGAAGTTTATACCTTGTGTTAGTTCAAATGGTGAGAATTAAAATAGGGGAAGAGAGTACCTACCCCCTGCATAGGCAAGATTTGGAATCAGCCTTGACTTAGGAGGTGAAAGTCCTGGGGCTTTTCTCAACCCTGGTCCATCGACTTTTGATATTTAAACAGACTCCAACACTGATTTTAGAAAATGATGGTTCCTAGGCATTCTTCATTCACTCTTATATTGCCTATGAAAAATATTTGTAACTTCCTTCATCTAAATGACCCTCCTATATCACCTACTCTTTTCAATCCAAAATATACATAGCCTTTTCTCTCCCTGGTATATGATTTACTAAAAAGTATTTAAAAACCAAGAAAGTAGTAAAATATTGAGGTATAAGGCTTATAATTTGGATTGCTTTTCTCTGAAAATAGCTGTTCATAATGGAATTAATAGCGTAGTGTGTTCTGTGTACATCTGAGAAATGCAATACAAATAACACTAACATTAGCCTGATTTGTTGACAGGTGACCCACGAAGCTATCATTGTAGCTTCACAGACTTACTGTATCAACAAGAAGTGACTGGAGTCATCGAGCTGTACTTCTTGTCTTTATAGTTCATAATTTGGTGGTATATATATATTTACTTTTCTGGCCTTGATTTCTAAAGACTTCACCGTAATTAGAGTCTCTTCATATTGTCCTTATTTTTGTATTAAGTCTGGCAAGGTCTTCAGTGAGAAGAAATAGTGGAGAGCAGTGGATAGCAGCTCCGATCTGCTCAGCCTGCCTGTGTTGAGAAGCAGGATTCAACTCACACCCTGGCATGCACATCAAGGTTACCCTGTTTTGATTATGTAAGGGAGAAATTTCCACACCATCAGTTAGTACTGCTACTTTTCATATGGCCTCAGCTGTGTTTGCAGAAATGCCCCTCACATTCATCTTTGTGTTTCTGTGAAGATTCAGTTACCAATGAGTATTACCACAGTGACCCAAAGGAATTCATATACATTAGATAGACTTTTTGATATCATCAGATTTTTTTTTAAATCTAAAAGTGGTATCACTTTTTTGTAATATTAAATCTTAATTTTCTGACAGTTTGTATAGTGAAAATTGTATTTAAACAAAGGATAAGCCATGTTCAATAATAAATCAGTCATGATACATCAATCTACACTTCCTGAGCACAAATAAAATATGTCTCACACTTTTATTAAAATGATCTCTTGGTTAGCTTCTGGAGCCACCCCTTTGATACCTTTGTCGGAAAGCATATTAATGTTATTGAGAAAACTGTAACTAATTAGAGTTTTCCTTTTTGGAAAATTATAAACCAGTACCCAGAGGGTGATTGAAGAATATATTCAATTATTACATTCATAGCAATTTCCCTTTAAAAGAAAGCTTCAATTCTGATTGCAGATGTTTATGGTATATTCTCTATACTTTTGATAGACTAGGCCTTAACAACTTTTTTTCCAGCTAATTTGGGCATAGGAATCCCACTTCTGGCCAGCAACTTTATCAGCCCAAATATGACCGTTCATCTTCAAAGTGAAAATGGTGTCCTGGGTTTGGTAAGATGGAAATTAAAACTTTCCTTAATTTTAACTATGGCAGAGACTATTTGTAGCTTGCCAATTTATAATATTCCTAAACTTTTATTATTTCTCAGTAGACCTTAATATCACTGCAGTAAAAATTGTACATATGGAAATGTACATCTAATATGTAAGATGAGTAATGTTAATAGACTACCTTTGATGACATATAGACATATAGTCGATACTGATTGATTGAAGTAATGATAATGACCATTTTCAAATATAGAAAAATGCCATGTATCTAAATAAAAGTATATTTCTATTAAAGCCAAAGACTTGCATTTAATTTATCTTCATTTTGAAGACAAGAGAAATAAGTTTATGTGAATTATCCATTGTCAACATTTAAAGAGAAATACACATAGGCCTAAAACATTAGTGTGTTTTCAATTTATTTATAGGACAAAATTTTGGTCCCTCTTTGAAAAGTATATAAAAACTACAAAGCCAATAGTTCTTCTAGTTCCTCATTCTTGACTTTATCTTAGCTTTTTCTTCACCTTTTTTTTTTTTTTGGCAATACTGGAGTTTGAACTCAGGGCAGGTGCTCTACTATTTGAGCTACTCAGCCAGCCCTTGTCTCCTTTTTTTTCCTTTTCCTCCTTTTTGTTTAATATATGTTATGCTGTAAAACTACTTGCCCCATTCAAGGGATTAGAGTTGCCTTATAAAACTCTATGCAAAGTTGGCTGAGGATGTATCTCACTGGTGGAGCACACGCCCAGCGCGACACATACACACTCGTGTGCAACACTCATGCACACATACAGAATTAGATATGCATTTTTAGAAATAAAACCTTCCTTGAGAGGAACCAGGCAAAGGGAGCATAATGTGGTCCACACTTAGGTGTACTAAGTACAAGTACTCCAAAACCAGAAGTTTCCATGTTACACATAGGAAAGTCATAACTTCCTTTCCAAGTCCTTCTAGCCAAATGACAAATCTATGTAGTTGGTATTCATGAATCCTACCAGAAAGGTTCATCGAATAACTTGGCTGCTTATTAGGTGCTAAACATGACTTTTTGTTTTCTTGACATATATTTCTAATAGCATAACTGGTCATTTTTAGAAAATATTTTCCCCTTGCCCAGTTATACTATTAACATAGTAAACAATAATTAATATGAAAAAAGAGCCATGAAAATACAGGAATTATTTTAAAAGGCTCATGTCCTTGGATGATAACTTCTTAGGGTTTTTGGAGGAGTTGTTTATATTACAGTTTTAGGGTGTGATTCAGGAGAATCCTCTATACTAACTGAATGTGTGCTGTATTTGACAGGGTCCATATCCATTACAACACGAAGTAGATGCAGATCTAATCAATGCAGGTAAACTCACTTATTACATTTTTTTCAACATTTTTCTTTGCTGTTAACTGCCAAATAGTATCAAGGAATTGGACACAATTCTCTGCCTCTTCCTGGAGAGTGCTTTACTCTATTACGATTAAGCAGGGAGATGAGCCTTCCTAGTCCTTCTTTGAGGTCTCCTCTCATTCAAGAATGACTGAGCTAAAGAAGGAAATGCAAATGGAGGCACATTCAGTGGACAAGCTTTGATGGGTTAGTCAGGGTCTTGACTGTAAATGGAAAACACTCTGGAATGGGGGTATTGAGAGCAATGTGAAATGGAATTTTTAACCCCACAGGGAATTATTATTACCTATAGACCTTAAGGGACAACGGCAAGAGACGGCCACCCAACAGGAACCATGGCCTTTGGTAGAAGAAGACCACCAACTTCAGTGATTGTGGTAGAGGAAGGGTCTCTTTTGCTGGGTCTCCAGCCTTTGCCACTCATTGACCAATCCCAAATTGAAATAAATAGATCAGCCTCCTCTGGATGGAGAAGGTGGGAGTGCATCCTTAGTAGCTAAAGGAAAAGGTTGGAAATTTTTGTGTAGGTGATGCTTACCATCTTCTAGTCCAATCTGGATTGAGAGAGCATCCTCCAAACATACAACCTAAGGATGTGAGCAAAAGTATATTTTCTTTGAGCTGGGAACATAAGCATGATCTTCTCCTTTGTTCTGGTAATCATATGCTCTGCCTTTATTATTAGGTTGTTATTTTCTGGAACATTGAGTCACAGGTATTAGCAGCCTAGTAGAGGATGACGAACAAGCCTTTGGCCATGGTCACTGCCTGTGTTTGAGGCAACACTTGCCATCATGTTGGACTGTGGTTTATCCTTGATCAAGGACAGCTGCCCGTAAGAAGTAATTTTTATGTTTTAGCAGGACTTTCAGCATCTTTCCTTTATTCATTCTATCCCCCACAAAAGTGTTATTGTTACTTTGCTTTCAAAAATTGTATATGTACATTTCAGAAGTAATAGGAGGTGAACATGAAGGCCAGCTGCCAAGGAGAATTGATGTTCGATACCTAGAGTTTTTGAAAGTAATACAACTTCTGATTGAATAGTTGAATAAGTTAACATGACTCAACTCTGAAAGACCCACTGTGATAATGCAATGACATTTAACCAAGGCTGTAATTTGACTGTACTGTACCCTTTAGCAATAACTCATTGATCTGTGAAAATATTTGCTGCTTGATTTAATTAATTTATGATGTTAGTGAGTTATTTGCAAAATGAATTACTCCATTTTCCAAATTTCAGGCTTGAGTTCATAAAACCCACTTTACTTGGAAAAGGAATTAATCTTTTTCAATGACCTTGTTAGACAGTAGGTGTTTCTGATTCTACTGAGCTTAAAAGTAGCTCAGTTCTAACGAAGCCATCAGTTTTCTATTTCAACTTCTGAAATACCACATAAAATCTTAAATCACTTTGTAAAACAACAGTTCATTGTGGAGAGGGTGCCAAGTTGCAAATTGGCAGAGTAGTATTCTAACTCTTTCAATGGAGACCTTCTTGGGATTTTTGGTGCCTTTTTTTTTTTTCAGTGCTGAAGTTTTGAACTTAGGGCCTGTGCTTGCTAGGCAAGTGCTTCACCACTTGAGCCACACATCTCCATTCTTTCTACTTTAGTTATTTTTCAGATAAGGATAGGCTCTCAACGTTTCTTCCCTGGCCAGCCTTGGACTGATCTTTCTACTCTGCGTAAATGGGGTTACAGGCATGCACCACCAAACCTGGCAATATTTGGTGCTTTTGATTTTTGAAGCCATACAAATTACGGAGGAAATAATTTGAGCCAAAGAACATAAAATATAAATTGGTGATTTGCTCAACTTCCCACAATACCTGGAAATTGCTTGGAAGATCAGCCAAATGGCTGTGTTAATTTGAAAAGATTTAAACATCAATCTTTCCCCTCCCCCTTTAAAGTTAAATACTCATTTACTTATTTCAGCACTCTCTCGCTTTTAAAGTTAAATACTCGTTTATTTATTTCAACAATCTCTCCCTCCTTTAAGGTTAAATACTCATTTATTTATTTATAGGAAACTAAATTAAATTAAATATAGTTTATGTCTCTTGGTTTCATTAAGTCTTGAGAGATTCAGATAAATGCTTGCTAAAATAGAAGATACAAGTGAATAACATTTTCTAGGAAAATATATGTTTCTTCTTAAAAACCGATGGGGGCATTATTTCTGGAAAAATTAAGGGAATGGCTGTATGTTTTTTAAAAAAGTGTTTCTATTCTGTGTAAATGTGGATGATAGGACTATATACTCTAGAAAACATCTTTGAACAGAGCACACTTCTGGATATCTTTTCAGATCATTTGATAATTTAATATAAGCAATGATTTTTCTGAGATTAACTTTTCCTTCATCCTCAAATAGAAGCACATTTTATTACTGTATATTAATTATACAAAATAATGGGTTTCATTATGGAATTTTAATACCCGTATACAACGTACTTTAATCATATCCAGCCCCTTCAGTCATCTTCAGACATACTCTCTCTAGCTGGTCTCCCCCACCTTCCAAATAGTCCCTTTTGTATTTTTGTGTCTTCTTTTAAAATCTAGATTCTGCATATGAGAAAATGTGATATTTGTCTTTCTAGTCTGGTTTATTTCATTTAACATGATAATCTCCCTTTCCATCCATTTTTCCTACAAGCAACATAATTTTGTTCTTCTTTGTGGATAAATAGTACTCCATATATAATATGTTTTCTTTATCCACTCATCTATTGATGGGCACCTAGGTTGATTACAGCTTGCTATTGTGAATAGTGCTGCTATAAACAGGGGTGTGTAGGTGCTGCTATTGTATGTTGACTTACATTCTTTCAGATTATGTGCCCAGAAAGTGATGTAACAGGATCATATGGTAGTTTTATTTTTAGCTTTTTAAGAAGAACTTCCATACTGATTTCCATAGTGGCTGGATTAATTTATATTTCCAGTAACAGTGTATAAGCATTTCTGCCCCCACCTTCAATCCCCACCCTACATCCTTGCCAACATTTGTTGTTGTTTCTTTTCTTGATGATAGCCCGTCTGACTGGGATGAGATAAAATATCAATGTCAAAGTGGCATTTTACTGTAGACATATTACTATCTAGCTAAAGATATCAAACACTTCTTCATGTATTTATTGACCATTCGTACTTCTTTTGAAAATTATTCATTAGCCTATTTATTAATTGGATTATTTGTTGTTTGGTATTTACTTTTTGAGCTCTTTATATATTTGGTATACTAATCCCTTGTCAGATGAATAACTTTTATCATGAAGGGATATTGAATTTTGTCAAAGGCTTTTTCTGCATGAGTTGAGATGGTCATGTAATTTTTGTCTGTGTTTATGTGCTGCACTCAGTTTGTTGATTTGAACATGGTGAACCATCCTTGCTTCTGCCTTCCTGGGGACATTAAGCAATATCTGCAGATATTTTGATTGTCACCCTAGAGAGAGAGTGCTATTGGCCTGTACTGGGTAGAGGCCATAGATGCTGCTAAGCCTTCTGCATCGGTTAGAACAGCCCCCATAGAGTTATTCAGCCCTAAAGATCTGTAGTTCTGAAAAGGAGAGTCCCTACTTTAAAGGTATCTGCAGGCCTGCAACTAAAGTATGACAATACAGCATTCTATATCTGTAATGATTTCAGCCATCCTTTCTAGTTTTATTTTTCACTATGCCCTACAAGTATGCTTTTGTGCACTCACACGAGTGTTTGTAAAGACTGCTGACTGTATTCTCAGTGTGATTCATACTTTCCTTCCTACATGTCTTTGTTCTTACCAGGCCCTTCACCAGATTTTGTTTTTTTACCTAGTTCCTTTTCATTCCCAACTCCATAATTTTAATTTGCTGTCAAAATGCCTTACACCCATCCTTCATGGTCATTTGTCCATTTCCAATTCTTCTGTAACTCAAAAATGTCCCTACTCTGAACCTATAACATTCTAGTACCTTTCTCATAAACATACCACATTGTGCCTTGTAATCATATGTCTATTTATCTCTTTTGCTGCATGGTAAGCTCCTTTTTCTTAGGACACTGGTTTTCCAAACCCCCAGATCCATAGCATCCATATCACTAAGGACTTTTTAGAAGGAAATTCTGAGCCTCAATTATACACCTTCTGAAATAGAAACTCTCAGAAATTTGAAATTTTATAAATCTTTCATATGATTCTGATGGGTGTTTAAGCTTGAGAACAAGCAGTTTAGGGTATTTTTTTTTGCAGCACTGCTCAAGGCATGTAATAGATACACTGTTAAGAAAATGACCTTAAAGTTATGAGCCAAAGGACTCAGTACCTATGAAATTGAGGAACTCTATGACAAAATGTTATGAAAATATTCAGATCTAAACACAGAGAAAAATGAAGGAGAAAGAAGCCAATAGGGAATAGCCAAATAAGAAAGCTGTCATTCTTTATGTTGATTGTCTTACTTATTAGAGTTATGTAAGATTTTTCTTGATCAAATTTGGACATTGCATTAGAAAATCATAGATTCAACTTTAGGATACTTATTTTTATTTAGATATTGGATAATTTTAAATGCTGACAATTTAAAAAATTAAAAATAGAACTATCATTGATCCAGTAATTTCACTTCTGGGTAGATGGCAAAAAATAATAAAATCTGTATGCATTCCTATGTTTATTGCAGCACTGTTCACAATAACCAGTAGAATGGAAACAACCTAACTATCCATCAACTAATGAATGGATAAGGCAAATGTTGTACATTTACATTGTAGAATACTACTCAACCATAAAAATGATGAAATCCTGTCATGTGTGACAACATGGATGGAACTGGAGAGCTTTATGTTAAGTGAAATAAGCTGTACACAGAAAAACAAGTACCACATATTCTCAGACATATATGAAATATAAAAACGTTGATGTCATAGAAGCTGAGAATAGCATGGTAGTTAACCAGAGTAGGGAGGAGGAAAGGCAGATTTATCAATGTGTACTAAAGTGACACTTGGATAGGAATAAGGAGTTCTGGTGGGCATACATGACAATAATGTGCCATATATTTTAGAAAGCTAGAAGAAAGGATTTTAAATATTTCAACCATAAAGAAATGATGTTAGAGGAGATAGATATGTTTATCCTGATTTGAACATTTCACAATATATACATTTTATTATACCTATAAATATGTATAATTTTCATGTAGCAATTAAAATAAATTTAAATTAAAATGCTGATAATTAGATGCTTTACTTCAAAAGAATGTAATTTGTAACATACCAGGATGAATTAGCAGGGGCCTAATAACCATTTTCCATGAGAGTTGTTTTCTGGGTTCTTTAATAAAATTATGCTTTATAAATCATTTTGGTCTCAAAATTTCCCATATAGTGGAGAACACCCTTTGGAAGTCATTGTGATTTAATACCTAAAAAAAAAAAAAAGAATTGGGATTTTAATGTTTTTCTTCTTTCTTGATCTACAAAAGTTCTTCCTCCCTGACTCTCCACCTTACAGGACTGGTAAGGATCTGATTTTGTTGTACATACAAGTTTTGGTATGATGAGGTTTAGCAATGTTGAGCTCATATAGACTCATTATATACCCCACTGTATAAGTCATTTTCTAGGTCCATGGCATTTAACTCTAAAGGGGCAATGGCATGGTGTCTTTTCTAAGAACTTTGGAGGGAGCAATAACAATGGCAATAATAAAAACTAATCTTTGTGGAGCTGTTTGTCTGAGCCAAGTTCTAAAGAAAGGACTTGATATGCATCATCTCATTCAAACTCCAGGTTCTGTGCTGGCTAAAAGCCCCTTCTAAATCATAGCAGAAAGTATTTTCCAAGGTTTTTCAGTTTTATGGTATTTTAGAAGATATGAAAATGTTTCCATCATTTTAGAATCAAACTCCCTTGGGGAATAAATATTTCAGCGTGATATAAATCGGTATACTTTTTCTTCATATTCCAGCTCAAATGGAGGGGGACATTGGTAGAAAAATTAGCTGTCAGTGAGATTGAGAAGCTGAGGGGATAGCTGTGTTGGATAGCTGGGAATGGTCAGACCACTTCTGTTCTTGGTGTGTTGGCAGCTTTTCTATACTCTCATTGTGGAATCACAGCTTTTGTTCCCCTTCCTTTTGTCTGCCCTCTTACACTGGGGTCACATATAGATTGTGACAGTTGACTTACCTTTGGCCAGGTGGCAGATGAGCACTTTTCTGGTTGAAACCAGGAGCAGTTTCTGGGTTCCTGAAGTTCCTGAACAGAGAAGTTCTGAGTCAAATTATATTATTAGCAGTGTGAGGACTGGATAAATGTGAAGAATTTTCCAGCTCTGAACTTTTATTACAATATGAACATTTTTGATGTCCTTCTAAAAAGACCTCATGGAAGTTAACATTGAATATGTTGGACAGTGTTACCATATTATTTTCTGATTTCATCAATCTTCCTATAGTAGAAGCTTATAGGAATAAGAGAATAAAAATGAGAATCAGAAAGAGGAGAGGAGAGGACAGGAGGAAAGGAAGGGAAGGAGAGATTAAAATGAGGGACTTTGGCCTACAGATACTAAGGAATTGGGTGGGTCCTTTAGTTTTCATTGAGTCTTTAAGAGTTTTGTTTTGTTTTTTTGGCAGTACTAGGGTTTAACTCAGGGTCTCATGCTTATTAGGCAGGTGCTCTACTACTTGAGCCACTCCAGCAGTATCTGATTAAAAAAAAATTTTTTTTTTTACTCCCCAGCAATGAGGAATGATTGACAAATAAACTGTATATATTCAAGGTGTAACAAGTAATGATTTGATAAGTGTATACATTGTGAAATGATTACCACAATGAAGTTAATAAACATGCCCATCTACTCATATATTTTCATTTCTTCTTTGTGGTGAGAACACTTAATATTTACCATCTAAGCAAATTTCAAGTATGTAATACAGCACTATTAGCTATAGCTACTGTGCTATATATTAGATCCTTAGAACTTACTCATCTTTTAACTGAAAGTTACTGGTTGATTTTTTTAAAAAGGAAAAACCAAAGGACATTTTCTGTGTCACTCCCTTCAAAATTGCATTTCTTCTTATGTTCCTGTTTATTGCATTGGATTCTGACAGGTGCCACCCCAGAACTCCTTGCTCAGTCCTATTAGCATTTCCAAGTGACTTGTGAAGGGGATGAGAATGGTGGCAGGAGGACAGGTATAGGCAACAGAGAAGTGCAGTGTCTGAGAATTTACTAGTAATAATACCACAAAAGTTGGTTATTGTCACCTTTCAGGGGCAATGCTGAACAATGTCAGTGAAAAATATTCCCCTTTGCAGTGTGGACAATTCCTATGCTGTCCCCTTACTCCCTATGCAGTGGGAGTAAGTAAAGGGAGCTTATTTATTTATTTTTTTGGGAAGCAGAGAATATACAGAGCTCTTTGTCCACCACGATAACAGAATTCTAATAGTCTTTTCTTCCCTTGTTTTTCCTCGTTTCTTTGTGTGTGTGTGTGTGTGTGTGTGTGTGTGTGTGTGTGTTTAGGCAAGGAAACAGTTACTGTTCTTCCAGGAGCCTCTTTTTTCTCCAGCGATGAATCATTCGCCATGATTAGAGGGTATGTAATAATGGAGCCTCTCACGCTTGCTGTGTGAACACACAGTGTGGAGTGACTTGAGTCATCCCTGAGTGTGAGCAAGGCTCTGAGACATGGTCCCATTTCCCACAGTCCCATTAAAGTATCACTGCTTATTCAGTTGCAGGAAGCTATGAAATTATTCCCGCTGAAGGCTGGGCACTGAAATATCCCACCCACTATTTTGAAAAGAACCCCCAACATGGAAAATATATCTTTGGATTGAAGTAAACATTTATAAGGTCCTTTCTGAAGGTCCCAACATTTTCTTCAAACTGTGCACTCACCTTTCAGCTGCATTTGTCTTCAAATCCAGTCATATTCCCTCTCACTGAAGGAAACAAACTTCACTGTGCACACCTATGTTCATTTTGTTTTGGGAGACAATATAGGCTATAATTTTGTTAAAAACTCTTAATGGTTATTTCTCTGCATCAGCTTGAAGCTTATCTAGAAATCAGTTATGGGGAGAAGGAGAGGAAATTTATTTTGGAGTTATAGTATTATTTTAATTGCTGGCACTTTCAAAGTAATATGGACATAAGGCTTGTAAAGTTTGCTTTATTTTGTCCTTTTTCTTTCTTAGGGGACATGTCAATCTGACAATGCTAGGAGCAATGCAGGTTTCCAAATATGGTGACCTGGCTAACTGGATGATACCTGTAAGTAGACATTTTTCTTTTCTTATGAATTGTGCTTGCATCAAAATAATTCTTTTGAAATACTAAGGAAAAAACCTCAAGTTGCTATAAGAACATGTTCTGTCAAAAAATGAATAAAGATTTGTGTCTATTTCCTCTTTGCATCAAATTTTAATTAAGCATGTTACCAGTTACTATTTAGTTGAGACTAACAATAGGCAAGTTCAGACCGAAAGTAACATTATCCTCAAAAAAACAGATTTGGGGAAGATTATTTTTTTAAATGGCTTAATTATACTCTGATGAAAGAAGAAGTAACAAACATTAATTATAACTAATATTTTATAACTGGAAAGAACAATCAACACATTCTATTTTTCTTGAAGTGATTACAATCCTCTCTTGATTGGTCATGTGCCCTCATAATCAATCAGTCACATTGCCTTCTATTATGGAATGCAGTCTTTGTGATGGTTAAACATGCTTGTAAAAGGCTGAAGGTTTTCATTTAATAATGACCTAAAGCAAGGAAGAAACCTCTTAGCTCTAGCTTTGGGAAAAGGATTGCAATCAGAATTTACTCCATGAGTGTTGGTCACTATATTCCAGGGTGTTGCTTTCTGATTTCATGCATGGAAACTCCAGTGGATGTGTCCATGATTATGAGTTCACAGTGGCTGGTGGCTCAAGTTTCTTTTTATGTGGGTGTGTGTTTAAGGATATGTGTTTCTCTATAGCACTAACTAAAAAGTAATTTTGTTAAGTAACTAAGGCTGATAGTCTGTGATGTAACTTTTTTTAATCTTTTAGGTTTTTTTTTTTCTAATTTTTTGATGAAGATGATTAACATTGTTGACAACAATGTTAAAGATTATATTAGTTTGCTCTGTTGATCTAATACTACCTGAAATATTATTTTAAAGTTTTAGTAATTATTAAAGTCCTGGTTCTTAAACTTGTTGCATATTGGGAATCATTTCAGAGTTTAAAAGATGTTGAGGCCTAGATTCCAGCCCCAACCTTTCCAATTTGCACTTGGTGGTTTAACACAATCCAGATGATTCTAATATATGACCAAGTTTGAAACAAGTACATTAAATAATGACCATGAATCATTCATAATTAAAATATAATTGAAAAATGCCATGAATCATATGATTATATTGCTATCGAGTTATAAAAATGATTTGTCATTTGAAATTAGCTATAGTTACAAGGGTTGGCTGCTCTTGGATGCTTCAGTGAAATTTGGGAGGATCTCCTAAGCATCATACAGTGAGTCAGATTGACAGTTTGTGGGAATACTTATCAGTATATGAAACCAGAATGCATCTATTTTCAAATATTAGAAAATAACAATATGGAATAGTAGAAGGAGTATGGGAAAGCAAACCCTGAGTTTTGCCCTGACTTTACCAGTAATCAAGGTATGACCTCCACATATTACTTAAAGTGTTTGGGTTAAAACATCCTCATTTATAAAATGAAGGTTTGAAATTAGATTATTTTGCATGTCAAGTAACTAATACAGTGGTTAACAAAAGCCTTGTTGTAAGATAAATCTGAGCTGAAATTCTATTTTGATTGTTTGCTAGCTGTATAACTTGAACCAATGGCCTATTTTTTCTACTCTGTAAAATGGGAGTGATAGCATAGTATCTACTTTATAGGACTATATAAAGGAATAAATGGGGAAATACATACAAAGCACATGTCACAGTGACACGTAGTACATAGTAATTACTTTGATAAGTTGAGAAGGGGATCTTGGCAGACAAGGAAATAACATTGATTCTTATGAAGAGAAGCAGTTAGGTTTTAAACATGTCTGTTTCACTGGACTAATGGTTTCTTAAGTCATTTTGCACAGTGGTCCTGGATATGAGGTAGGAATGTGTTCAACAGGTTCTTTCCTTCAGGGGACTTTAATCGAGACTTTTTAGATAAAAAGCACACATGAGATTTGTTTCTATTATAGTTTAGCATACAGTGAAACAAGAATCAGTCACAGAGAGTGCATTATGTAGCTGTCCTTTTGTAAGAAAGATTTTTCAATGTGTATCATATTTTTATATACCCTCTTAAGGTCTCTAGGAATGTTTAAAATACCTGTGGGTTTTTTTGTTCTTTTTTTTTGTTTTTGTTTTTGTAATTTTCTTAATGTAGTTTGGAGCTTAATGAGTTTGCTGAGGAATGGACCTAGTGGGGTGATGATTGTGAGCTCTGGAACATCATGAAGTAACATCATAGTAATGTGTTTGAGAAAAATTATGCATACAAACATTCTTCAGTCTGGTTCCACTCTTTCAGTAATGGTAGTGTCACTTGCAATTTGCGTTTCTTTTGTTCTTTCAGTAAATGATAATCACTTCTTGACTTCTTCACAGTGATACAGTCTATGTTTTCATTCTTTGGGACTCAGAATGGCTTCAGAGTCAAGACCTTGAGGTTTAGATTGGAAGAGACCTGGTTTAAATTTCAGCCCTACCCTTTACAAATGATAAGATCTGAAACACATTTTTTTTTTTTTGGTTAGAATTAAATCATAGGAAAATGATAAGTGAGTACTATCGTACTCAGTAACTAGTGGCTATTATTTTCATCTTCTTTAATGCTTTATTGCTTAACGTTAAAGAGGGATCATTTGCCTAAAAATAAACTAGTTCAAGTAAGACAATTCCACAGGAATCAGTATACCCCACTTATCCTACATTTATATTCACAACCAAAAATTAAACCTTTTCAGGATACATTTCTTGCTTTTGTTGGTTATAGATGAGATGTAGCCTACCCTCCTTATGCAGTTTCAGTAAGCAATCTATTTGTTTGTCCCAAAGATTTTTGTTGATTTATAAAATTTAGATGCATTATATTGCAAAATCTGTCAGTCAGGAAGCTGCAAAATTTAGCTTTATTATATAATTTTTCATTTTCATTTATCTTTTCACTGAGTTTAATAATTTTTATTTATTCATCTATTTTTGTGGTACTGGGGCTTGAACTCAGGGCCTTCACCTTGAGCCACTCCACCAGCCCTATTATTGTGAAGGGTTTTTTGAGATAGTGTCTCATGAGCTATTTGCCCACGCTGGCTTCGAACCAGTCTTCCTGATCTCTGCCTCCTGAATAGTTAGGATTACAGGAGTGAGCCACTGGTGCCCAGGAGTTTAATAATTTTTAAATGGTTGTGTAAGCCTCAAGTTCGCAGCATCACTATCATTGTGGTGTCAGATTATAATAAGCATTGAGCCTTAAAGACAAGCAGTGTGGATACGATTTGTTTTACCTTCCAAGCGCTTCTTAATATGCAGCATTGGTCCCATGTACACAGACTTTAATGGTTCTGCCCTGAGTGTCCACAAAGGGAGAAATTGACAATAGTAGTTCACTCCTTCAAGTTTCCTATTTAGCATGATGATGGCAAAACCCCAGACAAGCTAAGAACGGGGGAAAAATGTGCAGCCAACAAAAGTCTACTTTCAGATCTGCTCTGTGCCTTTCTAACGCCTATTTTTGGAAAACAGCTGGTATAGATTATTGACTTATGAAGGGAAGCAGATGTGTGTGATCAGCTAGGGGAGCTTGCTACTGAAAGCATGAATAGCAGCCCCCTGGACAGGGACGCCCACATGAGTGGCACTAGAGACAAGGGCCCTCTCCTTACACACGGAGAGGATTGAAAAGGGGCATTCGTAAGGCAAGGGAGAGAAGAAAATTTTTGGTGTTTGTTTTTTTCCCTCACATTTTTCAGTTTTTGTGCATTTGAAAGAATAAACACAAATTAATGTTACAGTCATTAATCGTAGATTTCTGCGTACATAAAATTGATTGGGTCCTGTAGATGTGATATCAGTTTTAAAATAAGCTAAAATAATAGTCTTCTTAATTAAGCCTCTCAAAGGAATGTTGCATTTAAGATTCTGTCTATTGGTTTAGTTGCCTCAATTGTATAATCCAAATATTAAGTCCATATATATATATATAAATATATAGATTACCACTAGGTGAAGATTGCATTATCTACATATTATTTTAACACATTGGTATCTTGTTCATTTGATCTGAAGGCGCAGGAAAGTGCAAACCATGAGTTAGGAAATATGTAGGTGGTGATGTGAAGATTTTATAATTATTCGGCAGTGCTTTTGCCTTATTCATGCAATAGAGTGGAAAGCACATAAAACTTTGGCATTAGACAGACCTCTGCTTAAATACTGGTTCTTTCACTAACTGATGATGTGACACATCATTTCCACTTAGTGGACTCATTTGTTAAGTGATAAAAATATTTAACTCATTGTCGCTTATTCTGGGTATTAAATTAGTTCATTCATTCAACAAGTATTTACTAGGAATATACTAAGAGCCATGTACTGTTGTAGTTTTATTGAGGTGAGGGGGATTTAGCAGTTAACAAAAATATATAAAATGTTCTGTATTTATGGAGTGATATTCTGGCAAGGGTCACAAACTATAGCCCATGTAGAAAATCTGGCCCACTGTCTGTTTTTTGTAAATAAAGTTTTATTAGAACACAGCCATATGTACTCATTTGCATATTACTCATGACTACTTTTGTGCTGCAATAGAAAAGCTGAGTAGTTGGAATAGAGACTTGCTATGGTTTGAATATATCCTCCCAAATCCATGTACTGGAAACTTAATCCCCAATGCAACAGTGTTAGGAGGTGAGGCCTAAAGAGAGTTGATTAGGTCATGAGTTCTCTGCCCACAGGAATGTTTTCATGGGAATGGGTTACTTACTTGGAGAATAGGTTTGTTATAAATGCAAGTTTAGCCCCCTTTTTAATTCCCTCTTGTGTGAGCTCTCTTGCCTGACCTTCTACCTTATGCCATGAGATGATGCAGCCTTACAAGATGAGGCCTTTTACTCTTAGACTTCCCAGCCACCAAGACTGTAAGGAATAAATATATATTCTTAATAAATGACCCAGTCTTAGGTATTGTATTGTAGCAACACAGAACAGACTAATACAAGATTGTGTGGCTTTCAAAGTCTA